ATATTTAAAAGCTCCCAGGCAATTCTGATGATCTGCCAAGTTTGGGAGACACTGTTCCAAATCATCTTTTGTTCTCACTTTCCCTCTATTTTAGGCACTGAACATTTACTGCTTTGTAACTCCTTGCATTCTATGGCTCATTTTCCCCATTATTTGATAATTTTCATCAGAGCAGGACGTCTGATTACTATTCATGCTTATCCCATGCCTTGCACAAGGTAAGGCACATTTTAGAAGTTCAGTAAATTCGCCTTGAGTAAAAGAATGAACACATGAAGCAGTGAAATGCATTTGAGTGAGCAGTTTCTCTATTTTTTTTTAATTCTGCTTTCATTTACTCAGATTTTTTGAAAATAGAACTAGTCATCTATATGTAGCCATTTAGGATTAATTCCCTTTAAAAATAGTTACAGCAACTTATTTTTATTTTTTTAAAGAAACTTTCCATTTTTAAGAGCCCTATTTCCAGAAACACTTTATAATGCACAAGCTTTCAGCTTACAAATGGTTCCATTTGAGTCTCATACCAGGAATAGCTTGTATGAATCCATAAACATGAATGAGGCTCATCTTGTGGGATTCTCCTATTTTAGTCCAATGCTTACCTCAAATAGAATCCATTTGAGTGAATTCTGCTGCCATAAATGCATTTAAACTGAAGGTAGCCATTGTAAATAATAGGATTAAAAGCAAACATACCTCAGTCATCATTGATTCATACCTCAGACAATAAAATAAATATATCTATGAAAATATATTAGGCTAAACATGTTAAAACCCAATCATCCATTTTTATTCTTCATGGTGAGTCTAAATATTTAATAAATACTATGCCTAATCCTTATAATGAACTGTTTTTTAATGAATGCAGAAATAGAAATGCTGAAATTTAAAAAAAGGAATGGAAAAAGAGCAGCCAACACATTTATTAAAGAATTTATCCTAAGAAAGATCTGACTTGTGAAATTTGTTTCCTTACAGTGTACCTGATATTCTTCATTGAGTCAGTAAAAGGTTTTAGTTTAAACAGTGGCTGTTATCTTCAGTCAGCTAGCACTTTTTTCATTTTTGCAGGTGATTCAGGTACTACGCCTAGCACTTTAGCCATCCAGGACAAGGGGGATGCAATCAGCAAAATCCACAATGTGGGAAGTTCTCCAGGACAAATGACCCAGTTCTCTCAGCAAATAAATTGTTTTTCTTGCTTGGCCTTAAAAGACGTACTTGAGCTACTCTGGGGAGAATAAGCTTCAGAGAGGCACTGTTGGAAACACAGAGACGTGTTAGGAGCTTTTGCACTACTCTGTGCAAGAGATGATCATGAGTTGGATCAGGGTTTTAATGGTAGAGAAGGTGAGAAGTAGTCAGATTTGGATATACTGTGTGTTGAAGTTTAAGTCAAGAGAATTTGCTAATGGACTGACTATACAGTGTGAGAGAAAGAGCTAGAAGAATGGAGATGCGATTACCTGAAATGGGATGACTGCAGGCGAAGTAGGTTTCAGAGGGAAACCAGAAGCTCAGTTTGGGGCAAGATGAGTTTGAGATAATGTATTAGACACCAAGTGGTGCTCAGCTGGAAATGCGGTCAAGAGTTCACAGGTGAGTTCTGGGTAGGAGATATAAACTTGGGAGTTTTCAGAGTAAATAAGTGTTTTCAAGCCATTACAGTAAATTAGATCACCAAGGGAGTAGGTATAGTTCCTCTGTTCCTTCAACAACAATGCGGAATGAACAACCCCAAAATTTAGTGACTTAAAACAACAATCATTTATTCTCACGGATCTGTGATTGGATGAGGGTTTGCTGATGTAGGCTAGGGTTGGCTGGGATGACTTTGTTCTGTTCCAAGTGCCTCTCATTCCTTCTCCTAGAACTGGTAAACTAGCTGAGGCTTTTTTTTTTCATGATAATGTCAGAAGCACAAGAAAGAAAGCAGAAATATATAAGTTCTTTTGAGGTCTAGGCTCAGAGGCGGCGTGGCATTCTATTGGCCAGAATAAGTCACATAGCTGAACTCAAAGTCAAGGACCAGCAAAATGGTAGGCAAAGGCATTGATACAGGGAAGGGTAAAATTCTGAGTTCATTAACACAGTCTCTCAGAAGTCCAAGGACTGAGTCCATCCTCGGTCATTTGAACTTTAAAAAATAAGTTTGAATTCTGCATCTATTCTGCTCCCCACATCTAATCAGGGGCCACACGTAAAAATTACCCTAGACATAATTTTAACCATTACTCCCCCTGTCCTGAAGGAACTTTATTGAAGACATCCAATTTTTGATTCCCGTCAAAGGAATAAAAACACTGGCTCCATATTACTAGTTACAAAGAAAGTCTATAGCAAAATGGTCCAAGATGCTAAGATGAGTCATCTAATAGTTAGAAGAGAAAAAAAGCAAAACAAAACTTGAGGAAGCAAATGATAAGGGGACATCTGTGTCTAAAATTGGAAAAACAGTTTCATCCTCAATAGTAGTTAGGACATCTGACATGAATGTATTAAAATGTATCATACACACATCAGAAGCTTGGCCAGTTCTAATTTTAAATAGGCCATAGCCAGTAATTTTTTTTCAAGCTAGTAAGATGCAGAATATACATTTTACCCAGTTCTTTGTTTGGGGACAGCTTTTTTTTTTTTTGACTGAGATAACTATTTTATAAATATATTTTAAAATTTCAGAATTAAAAAATTCAGGAAGATCAGAGGGAAATTCTTTTTTAAAGCCACAATCTGCTGTTACCAGCTTAGGCTACAAACCTGGATTTTTGAAAAGTAATGAATCAGATAACATGGTACTAGTAGTTGTACACTATCTTATATTTTAAGCTTCTTTTGCTAGATCTAGAGATTTTGGGTGGCTGAAGCAGCCTTAGAGATCATAATCACCTAATTTTATAGATGATGTAACAGAGGACCAGAGAGGTTAACCTGATTCTTTTGACAATAGAAGAATCGGATTATGTGAGTTGTAACCCAGCGGTGGGTGGACAGAAAGGGGTGACTCTAAGGTGCTTTACTCCCACCTCCACTCCATCCATCCATATAATCCAGTCATCCCTCGTTACCCCCTCTTCAGTAAGCATAAATCCAGTAAAAACTGATTCACTGATCAAGCAAAGCTTCTAGACAAGGCCCCCAGGGGCCCCCTAACTGACCCCAGCCCATTGTAGAAATCCTGGAGTGGTCACTGTCCTTTTACAAGAACAATTTTCCTTCTCTATCATCAGTGTCTATAGAGTCTTGTGGGCCTTGAAAAACTGGAGGATTTGTTGGCATCCTGTTGTTTCTTTTATTCCCTTACTTTATTTTCTTGTGTTCCTCCCTACTTGATTTGCACTAAGGCCGATTTTGGAGATAGTGTTTATGTGTATCTGTGGGAAATGGTACATCTCTTCTTCCCTGTAGGCACTAACTAGTTGTCCTATTTAAGCTTAATTTCTTCTTGGGAGTTTAACTAATTATTCTTTTTTTTTTTTGCTGATGTCTCTTCCAGCAGCAGCAACATACAGGCTTCCAAAATCCTTCCTGAGACTAATGTGCTGCTTTTTCCTTTTTTTTTTTTGTAAGGGAACCTGAGAAATTCGGGAGATGATTACTTTGCATACTTGCTTTCAAGAAGTATCTAAAATTTGCCATGATTGAACTCAACCTCTTACTGCTGCTGTCAAAGATAAACAAAGCTGGGCATCAGTTACAGTGGTAAAGACAGACTGTAATCAATAATATTCTATTGCAACTTCCATTTGTGCAGAGGTAACTCAGCATTTTAAAGGGAGAATGAAGGAGTACATAAGGGAAGTGAGCAGGGCTCAGTAGAGTCAGGGAAGTGAAAAATTACCAACACGTAGTCATTGTAAATGCTGATTAGGCCAGCGGTGTCTGTCAGCTGGCAATCATCAAAACTAGGATTCTTCCCTCCCACAGAGGCTGGGAGACCGGAGGCCCTTCTCCTTCCTCATGATTACACTTCAAAGGAAATGCTTTCAGGTCCTTGAGAAAGACACTAAGTGAACTGTAGGAGATGCATATACATCTCAAAGAGACAGAGGAAAGATTCACAATTATAAACCCATTTTTTAAATGGAGATTAAATCCCCAAGACCTCGTGCACGCTCAGCATTCGCACTCTAACCACTGCGCTATACCCCCATCCCATGTGAGCTCATTTTAATAAATGCTAATGGTCTAAGAAAGAGTGGGCAGGACTCTATTTGCAGGTCTTGACTAGAACCAACAGTAAATTCTTTGGGAGCCTTGAGCTTTCTCAGGCAGGCACTTTAAGGGGGGCTGGGGTCATCCTAGGGATGACTTGAGCTGTTAGAAACTATGTTAGGTTTAAGCTTTTTAATATGGGGGTAAGGGGAGTGGATGAAATCATTGTGTTGAGAATCTGTAGTTTTTATAGTCCAACGCTGAGATCTAATCAAGAAGAGGGCTCAGAGGGCCTGCAGGAGTTTGATCAAGGACAGAATGTTTCTCACTGAGTAATTTTAAGACATACTAGTTTACTTTAAATTTTTTAAAGGTTTATTTGCCAAAGCCTTCCTTTCTTCATCTGTGAAATAGGAATTACGTATTGACATCTCATACAGTTCTAGGGCACATCTAGTACAACGCTGTCCAACAGAAGTATTGGACACGCCTCACATGTTTTTATCAATATCTTCACAGCCACTTTTTAACAAAAAAAAGTAAAAATAAATAGTAAAAATTGATGTTAGTAATTTATTTTACTTACCTAATATATTAAAACTTATCATTTCAACATGTAGTCAACACTTGTAAGTTATTGGGAGATTTTCCCGTTCTTGTTTTCGTCCTGTGTATTTCACAGTTCCAATACAATTTTTAGTCTTCAGTACCCACTCTTGGCTGCTGCACTGGCCGGAGCAGATACGGACCACTAAGCAGCCACGCCTTGATGACGTCAGCGTAGGGCGGGTCTTAGCCGGATGGGGGCGGGGCTTTTCCGGGAGCGCGTTTTGGGCCTCACTGGCTGCCGTAGCAGAGCGGCGGCGGCGCCACGTCCCCGGCCGCGGCGGGAGAGGCATCCGTTGGGCCTCGGGGCGGGTGACCATGGCCTTTACGCTGTACTCGCTGCTGCAGGCGGCTCTGCTGTGTGTCAACGCCATCGCCGTGCTGCACGAGGAGCGCTTCCTCAAGAACAGTGAGTAGGGCCGCGGGGCCGGGCTGAGGGGCGGCGGGGGCGGCGCTCCGGGGGCG